CCCCAAATGCTCTGAAGCCTTTGAGACTATTGTTCACACCCTCTTGCCCGGGTACTCTCTTTGCCAATGGCTACTGTGACACAGATTTCTCTTGGCTCTCATTTGGACTGCTGAAACTAATTACTTGTAATCCAACTTGAACATAGTCACCAACACACTCTTTCAAATACACAGATCACTAATATCATGCTCCTTACTCATAAAACTTGAATGGCTCCTTATTACTTGGAGGATCAGATACAACTCCCTCAGCCTAGCAGTCAAAGTCCTCCACAATCTTATGCTATGATTTACCCTGCCGACTTCACCTCATGACCAAACTGGGCTATTAATTATTTCACTTGACGCTTTCACTTCCAGTCTTTGCTTTCGCATAAGCTGTCTCTCATGCCTTCATCATCCCAATCACTCTGAAGCTGTGTGCTTCTCCAAGGCTCAGGTCTCAGCCTATCTCCTCTGGGAAGCCTTTCTTGATCTCCTGATTTTAGTGCCTTCTCCCTTTTCAAATTACTTTATGTTTGTTTTACTTAAGGCTGTTGCCAAGGTCTGTTGATTCACCTCTGTAGCATCTCTCTAATACACCCCCTTCTCTACTCTGCCCCTGCTCCCCCCCTGGTGCAGACACTTGTCACCTCATACCTGGACTATTGCAATAGCTGCTGGGGGGTCTGCCTGTTTCCAGCCTCTCCCCACTCTACCCCGCCCTCCATGCAGCCTCCAGAGGGATTGTCCTAAGATGCAGCTCTGACCATGTCACTCACCTACTCAATAAACTCCAGTGGCTCCCTATTGCCTGCAAGATCAATTATAAAACCTTCTGCTTGTCATTCAAAGCCTTTCATAAGCTGGCCCCTTCCTGCCTTTCCAGTCTTCTTAAACCTTGCTCCCAGACATGTATTCTTTGATCCAGTGACACTGGCCTCCTGGCTGTTCCTCATATCTGCAATGCTCTTTCTCCTCATTTCTGCCACCTGGTTTCCTTGACTTCCTTCAAGTCCCAGATAAAATCCCATCTTCTACAGGAAGCTTTTGCCAACCTGCCTTAATTCTAGTGTCTTCCTTCTGTTAATTTTATCCTATTCATCCTGTATATAGCTTGTCTGTACATAATTGTTTGTATGTTATCTCCCCCATTGTGAATTCCTTGAGAGTAGGGACTGGTCTTTTTTTAACCTTCCTTTTTGTCTCTAGAGCTAAGAAGAGTGCCTGGCACATAGTAGGCACTTTATATGTGTAATATATATATATATATTATATATATACATACATATATGTATGTATATATGTATATATAGATATATAGATATATAGATATACTATATAATTGACTATATCCTTCCCCAGTGCTACACTTGGCTTTTAAGGATTTTATTTTCTTGTTCAAATTCCATCAGTTTTACAATTCTAGCTGGAATTTCTGAGAATGCGCTAAAATCTCTGGGAAAGAGAGAGTTCAATTATTCCTCCCTAATATCAAAATATTTTTCAACCCAGAAAACTTAAAACTAAAATGCTACCCTTACCGCCCTCAGTTTTCACTACTCTTCACTCTAGGAACAAATATAAAAAATCCTCTAGCAGGCATTCAAAGCCCGCTCTAACCAGTCCCCCCTGGTACATTTCCAATCTTCTTACACCTTCCTCCTCTCCCTCATATACTCTTCCATCTAGCGACAATGGCCTCATTGCTGTTTTTCAAACAAACATTCCATCTGTTCATTCAGGGCATTTTCTCTGGCTGTTCCTCACTTTTGGAATTCTCTCCCCTCTCATTTCCATCTCTTGGATTCCCTGACTGCCTGCAAGTCCTAGCTAACATCCGATCTCCTGCAAGAAGCCTTTCTTGCTCTTCCTTAATATCAGGGCCTTCCCTCTCTTGGTTAGCTCCAGTACATAGCTCATTTGTATGTACTTCCTTTTCTGTTGTCTGCCCCACCAGAACGTGAGCATTGTTCCTTGGGAGCATGGATTATCTGTCTTAGCAGTGTCTGGTATCTAATAGATGCTTAATAAATACTTGTCATTGCTTTGGTAGTTGTTTTCATTCTCTAATGACTAGAATAAATGCTGGAGAAGGATCACAAAAAGTCATCCCCTTATGGCACTGGAGGTAAGAAAAGGTAACCTAAGAGTCACTGGCTAAGCTGACTCTATGGTTGTCTCACTCCACAGAGATACCACCAATCTGAGCCTGCCCAGTCAACAGAACCCAGAGAGATGCAGAGAAAGGTCACCCTGCATAAACCATGCCAAATGCTTCCTTCTCCTGGAAACAACTAACTCAGCAGGGTACATTCAAAGGTTGGGCTTCTGGATTATTGGGATATTAAAATGTCATTAAGCAGGAGGGTTTTATAACAGGAAATATCCAACTGAAGATAACCGGTTGCCTCTGAGGGATGCACCAACTCTCACTATACTCACTGGACTATGTTTAAAAGGGCAGAGTGTAAATCCTGAAGCTGGGGAAGCTATAAACAGGGGTCACATTGTCTTTCTGCCACGCTTATCATCTCCTCCCATTTTCCCTCTCCCGGCGTTGGCACAAAGAAGGACGGAGATAGAGATCATTGAATTTTAGACCTCTCAGGGATGCTCAGGATCTCCTTGTCCAAACCCCACATTTTACAGATAAGACATTGGGCCAAGGAAGGTGAAGTAATTTGTCCAAGGGCACAGCATGGCCAGAGGTGGGACTAGAACTCAAGCATTCTGCATTCTATGTTCTTTCCACTTCAGCGCTCTTTACCTTTCACCATAATCAGAGAGGCAGGTCAACTGAGCTGTGGGGGCGGGAAGGCAGCAGCCAGTGGCAATAGCCCTGACAAAAGTCTCGGACTCTCCCACTCTGAGATTGTCTGAAGGTAACACATGAGAGCAGGAAAGTCTAAGCCTCTGGGTTCATGTTCCTAAACTGAGCCCTATCCTTTGGCAGCAAACTGAATGTGTTAACCAGAGGAAGAGGGCCGGGGAGACCTCTTCAAATAGATCCATGTGGCTCTGGAGAGACTGGCTCTGCTTGTGCGTCTATGTTCATGGCCCTTGTTGTGTGTATCCCTAAGAAAGTCCAGCACACCAGTCCTTATGGCAAGCTGCCCAAGGCCTTAGGCACAGAGTAGACTAAGGACCAGGCAAGCAGAGTGTTGAGTCACAAGATCAGCAACAGCTGCATCCTTGACGCTAAGAGCTCAAGGAGAATTGATAGTGACAGTGACACCCATGCTGCCGCTGCTGCTGTTGCTGACAATATTTATATAGCTCTTTAAGGCTTGCAAAGCACTTTACCAATATTATCTCATTCCTACCAACATTATCTCTATCCTACAACAACTCTAAGAGCTGGTTGCTATTATTATCTCTATTTTACAAATGGGGAAACTATGGCAGAGGCTGACTTACCTAGGCTCACCCAGCTAGTAAATGTCTGTGGCTGGATTTGAACTCAGGTCTTCCTGACTCCAGGTCCAGTGCTCTATCTGCTGCATCACTGAACTGCAGGCTGAGTCTAAAGAATTTGGCAATCAGACTAAAACTAGTGATCTTCACTTCAGGAGAGCAGCATTCTCATTTCATGAGAATGGAAGCCATATTCTCATTTCTTTCCTCTTCCCTTGAGTGTTCCAGTGTTAAAGGTCACCAGACCCTTGAAAGCAGGGATTAAGAGGCCCTACTACTCCAACCCTGAACTAGAGGTGGGCTGCTCCACAGGGCTGAGTGGTATTGACCAGTAAGCCCTTCCTGTGGAGAGGGGACAGAAAGACTTCCTATATTCTAAGACAATCCACCTGGGTTCTCCAGGGAAAGGAAGGGATGGGATGTGCCACCAGTACAATGCTCAGTTTTGCTGTGGCCAACAGACACAATGAAGACAGTCTTTCTCAGGTAGTTATCAAGTCCAAATGCTATCACTAAAACCTTGGAGCCTGATTTTTAAGCAGTTCTATTTTGCTATTGCTTCGCACGTGTCCACAGTTCCTGAACCTATTGCGTACTTTGGATCAGGCTAATGTAACCAAGGGAGCAGCAACCCCAAGTCATGCATTGTCATACTGTCTGAAACAGATTGAAAAGTTCTATTGATGGGTCCCAGGTCCCATTTCTCCAATTGCTACCCCCCCCTTTTAAAGTTTTATTAATTCATTTTCTCTTGAATCAGTCAACTCTCAATATACCCATCCCCAAAATCTAGGGAGCCTTCTCTTATAACACAATTTAAAAAAAAGTTAAGCAAAATCAACCACCATACCAACTATAAGTGATGGCACATGCAATACTCCTCAGCCATAGCAGCCTGCCTGTCTCCCGTTTCCTCATCTTTTCTCTGCTAGTGGCCTTCCCATCCTTGCTATTGTCTACCATCTTTAACCTGGCCATCACGTTAAAATTGTGAATGGTCATTTCATTTCCCAACTGTTATACTGTGTTTTCCTTTTCAAATTTAACTATTTTTTTCTCATTTTCAGATCCATTAAGTCAGTAGAAAAGCCAATTAAGTCCCTGCCTTCTAGGATATTACAGTTTAAAAATCTGGTATTGAACGACCTTCTAAAAGAGCCTCCTCAGGATCCAGAAATCTTTTTGGGGGGGGCGTGGGGAGTATGAATGTCTCCATGTAGATGGGTTACATCTGCTACAGTAACAATGCAGCATTGAGCAGAACCACCTACTGAAGAATCTTTGCAACAAGAGACAAGCTGGGCAGAATTTTCCGTAATACTTAAGTGACAATCATAGCATATTAGCCCCGTCATTCATTTTAGCCGAGTGGGTTATCAGCTTTGCAAAAGTCCTAGAATAAATCCATCTGAAATAAATCTGTCCTCTTCCTGTTCAATCTTTTGGAATTGACCCCAGTTTCTATGGAACATTGGAAAAGGTCCTGCCTGTTCTCATGGCACCTGCAGGAACCTTGCCTGTCCTCTCTGATGAGTGAATGCATCTGAGTCATACGTGAACCAGTGGAGAATTCAGCAAAGCAGAGCAGATGCCCTGGAACTTACCTCTTGCCGTTTGAAGTTCTGTACGTACTCCTCAAACTGCTCATCTTTTGTTTCATCGGCTTTGCCAAGTTTCTGGAGGACCTGGTACACAAACAAAACAAAACAAAACAAAATGTTATTCTAATAATGTTCTTTAAGAACACAAGTCATTGCAGTCCCAGGCTTAGCACAAGAGAATTTCTCTGAAAGATCCTCTTCTCTTAATGAGAGCAGCATTCTTCTGTGTTTGTAAATAGCTGTCATATAGTTTTATGTGTTTTCTAGGTAGCTAACTCAGGCTGGCCTTTGGATGGCAAACAGGGCCCTGGCTGGGACCAAAATTGAAGACTTGGGAGATACTGGAGTGGTTTGCTATTTCCTTCTTCAGATCATTTAATAGAGAAAGAAACTGAGGCAAACGGAGTTAAATGACTTGCCCAAATCAAATAGCTAGTAAGTATCTGAGGCCACATTTGAACTCAGGAAAATGACTCTTCCTCCTGGCTCTAGGGCCAGCACACAATCCACTGTATCTTCTAGTTGCCCAGGTTTGTTTAAGAACAATCTTCCCCAATCGATAAATGGTCAAAGGATATGAACAGGCAGTTCTCAGATGAAGAAATTAAAGCTGTCTATAGTCATATGAAAAAATCTTCTAAATCACTATTGACTAGAGAAATACAAATCAAAACAACTCTGAGGTACCACATCACACCTATCAGATTGGCCAACACGACAAAACAGGAAAATGATAAATGTTGGAGAAGATGTGGGAAAATTGGAACGCTAATGCATTGTTGGTGGAATTGTGAATTGATTCAGCCATTTTGGAGAGCAATTTGGAACTATGCCATAAAAATACGCTATTTCTAGCTATAAAAATATGCATTACCCTTTGACCTAACAATAGCACTTCTAGGGCTGTATGCCAAAGAGATCATAAAAATGGGGAAAGGATTCACATGTAAAAAATATTTATAGCAGCTCTTTCTGTGGTGGCAAAGAATTGGAAATTGAGGGGATGCCCATCAATTGGGGAATGGCTGAACAGGTTGTGGTATATGAATGTAATGGAATACTATTGTGCTATAAGAAATGATGAACAGACTGACTTCAGAAAAACCTGGAAAGAGAAGTATGGTCTGATGCTGAGTGAAGTGAGCAGAACCAAGAGAATGATGCAATAACAGTCATGTTGTGTGATGACTAACTTTGATAGACTTAGCCCTTCTCAGCAATGCAAGGATTTAAGACATGTCCAAAAGTCTCATGCTGGAAATGCTATCCACATCCAGAGAATGAACTATGGAGTCTGAATGCAGATGGAAGCATACCATTTGCTCTTTTTTTTCTTCCATTTTGTTTTGTTTCCTCTTTCTTGTGGTTTCTCCTATGGGTTCTAATTCTTTCTTACAAGATGACTAATGTGAAAATATGTTTAATAGGAATGTATATGTAGAGCCTATATCAGATTGCATGTCATCTTGGGGAGGGAGGGGGAGAAAATTTAAACCTCAAAAGTTTATGGAAGGGATTGTTGATAAATCAAAATAAATTAATTAAAAAAAAGTACATTGCTGAGCTGGAAAATGTCTAGAGGTGGCACTACCAGGCTAGAGAGGGTCTTGAATCCACGCCATACCATACGTGATCATCTAAAGGTACGGTGGTGTTTGGCCTGGGGAAGAGAAAGCTGAGGGCAAGAGGTGGGGAATGCAAGCTGCTTTTAAGCAGTAGAAGGGCTGGCATATGAAAGAGATCAGACTTGTTCTGCTTGACTAGAGGCCAGTATAGGGACTAATGGGTGGCAATTGCAAAGAGCTCCATTTTGATTTGATGTCAGGAACAGCTTCCTAACAATTAGTGCTCTCCCCAGAGTGGCCTTGGCTGCAGGGGGTGAAGAGGACTCCCCTACTCACTAGCGTTCTTTGACTCCTCATTGGGCATTTGCCAAGAGGAATCTTGCCCAGGCACAGGCTGCACCAGAGGTCATCGGGTGCCTTTCTAACTCCAGACACAGCCATGATTGCTCTCATGGCTTGGAACCTTACATTGGCATGGAGTTTTACAATTTCCTGAGTATATTCATATCTATGCTCTTGTTTGATTCTCACACAGTCAGAGCAGGTATTATTCCCATTTGCCAGATGAGGAAATCATAGCTCAGAGGCTTACCTAAGATCACAGACTTGCTAAGTGTGCAGAAAGTAAGGAGAAGACAGGTCTTTGGGCTTGGAGTTCACTATTGTGACCACTTTGCAAGCATCAATCAATCCAATATCATTTATTAAGCACCTAAAAGATACCAAGCCCTGTGCTAAACACTGGGGCTAAAAGAAAAGGCAACTAATAATAATCATCATTGCTCCCAAGGAATTCATAGTTTAAACACCTGAATAACTTTGTACAAACATGGCTGAGGCAACCAGGTGGCCCACTGGATAGAGTGCCAAACTGGAGTCAAGAAGACCTGAGTCCATAGCCAGCCTCAGACACATAGTGGCTGTATGACCCTGGGCAAGTCACTTAACCTCTGCTTGCCTCAATTTTCTCAATTTAGAATGAGGATTAATAATAGCATCTACCTCCCAGGGCTGTGGGGGGGTCAAATTCGATATTTGTGAAGCACTTAACACAGTGCCTGGCACATAGTAGGTGATCTATAAATGTGTATTCCTTTCCCTCATATCAATATGTACATATATACATATATATCTACATATGTAGATACTTACATCTGTGTATTGTATATAGGTATATATCTATGTATGTAGATATGTATATATATATACACACACCTATACATAAATATACATCTGTACATATACCTATTTACAGATACAGATATTTGAATTTTGGGTTAGAACCTGTGATTATCCTAGGAGTCCCAGTGAAGAAACTGCCTTCAATATCTTCAACTGGTCTATAACTGATAGTCTCAGAGAGTCACCTGTTATGTTGAGAGGTTAATGGCTTGCTCAGGGTCACACAATCAGTACGAGTTAGAGTGTGAACTCATCTTCCTGAGTCCATGGCAAGCTCTCTCTCCATGGGGCCACCCTCGGTCCCCCTTCCCCTTTCTATTTTTTCAATCTTTCGATAATCATTGATTCACTTAGCGTATATCTTTCATTCTTTGTATGTGTATCCCTAGTGGTTGTCTCATGTTAGCTACTTAATAAATACTTGCTGGTTGATTGATTGGTATGTATGCCCTCCACTGGTGGAAATGATGCAACTCTTCTTTGTCTTAGCGTGTGGACTTTGAGTGTTGCTGTGGTTGGAGTTAAAAAAAAACATCCTACATTCAACCATGGGGTTATGAGCTCCTCCAAATCTAGTTGGGCTGACCACTGGCTTGGCAGACATGTTTATAATCTGTGTTCTGCTCTATCCCCTAGTAGACTGTAAGCACCTTGAGAACAGGGACTGTTGAGGTTTGGCATTTATATCCTTAGGGCCCAGCACAGAGCCTGGCCCATGGATGCTTGCTTCCTGAATTAAATGCTTGTCTGATTGGGCATAATGTGGTAGGTATGATGATGGGTATCATAAACCCACCAATGGAAGGGCTGTAATGTGGCCTCCCCAGCTCAGTCATCTTTGGCAATGTTGCAGTGACACGACATGACACCCTTCTGCTGTTTGAATAGGAGAAAGTGTGCGTGCTCCCTCTCTTACTTGATGCCAGCTAGCAGAGAGTGAGGAATACCTGTTGTCTAGACTATGAGGTCAAGGAGGAAGAGAGTGGGACAAATGACCTTTTGGAATCTGTAAAGATATTTTATTGCCCCAAGGTTCTCCCTGAAACAAAGTTCCATCTTCTTAATGCTAATATTCTTTCAGTGATGATCCATGACTTTGAATCAAGAAGTTTCCAGTCTCTGAAGAATTAAAATTCTAGGTCACCCAAAGGGTAATGAAAAGGAACATGGCAGACATCAACAGGCTGCTGCATACTGTCACAGGATAACTGTAGGAAAGATGGGGTGAAATGTATCGGGAAAGAGATGATTGATGGAAAGACAGAATAAGCAGTGGAATGAATGCTGGGTTTGGGGAAAGGGGACCTGGGTTAGAATCCCGGCTGAGCTACTTATTACCTGTGTTGCCATAGGTTAGTGAATTTACCTCTCTGAGTCTTAGCTTCCTCTGCTGTAAAGTGAGGGCCTTGAACTACATGTCCTCTGAGGTTCCTGTCAGTTTGAAGTCTGTGATTCCAGGATCTCATGTATGGCCAGAGAAGATGGGCCAGTCATGTAAGGAGAATGAGGGACAAAGAATGGACAGCCCTTTTGGGAGCCACAGCTTTTGGGGGACTCCTGTCAAGGATTTCTGGGAAGGTGTGGACAAGAGCTTCATGAGATGGGCAGACAAGGATAGGTTATGATCAGTACTATGCTTCGTTTCTGACCCTTTCTCTCTATTAACACAGCTACTCCCTTAAGTCAGGCCCTCATTGCCTCTCACATTGACAATTTCAAGAATCTCCTGCTTGATCCCCCTGCCTCAAGTCTCTCCTCACTCCAGTCTATTCTACATACTGCTGCCAAAGGGATTTTCCTTAACTTCAGCTATAACCATGCAACTTTCTTATTCCGTCAACTATAGTGGCTTCCTTTTGCATATAGGAGCAAATAAAGACTCCTCTATGTAGCTTTTACAGGCCTATACAACCTGGCCCCAACCTATTTTTCTAGACTCCATAGACATAATTCCCTCGTTTACACTCATCAGTCCAGCGAATTTGGCCTTTTCTCTGTTCCTCCATCTCATCTGTGAACTTTTCACTTGCTGTCCCCTATACCTAGAAGGAGTGCCTTCCTAATCTCAGCCTCACAGGGTCCCTCTCTTCCTTTAAGGCGAAGCTTAGACAGCTTCTGCATAGAGCCTTTCCTGATCCTTTCAACAGCTAGTGCCTTCCCTCCCAAACAACTTTACATTTAACTGCTTCGTATATATTTGTGTTTAGTCATGTTATATTTATGCTGTGTATCTATTTACTAATACTCGTCTTCCACATTTGAATGCACACTCGTTGGGAATAAGGATTGTTTAGTTCTCTGAACTTGTATCACCAGCATGTGGCATGGTGCTGGGCA